TTAAATTTAACAGTACGAGGAGATTATACTGTTAAATGTCCGCGTAGAATTCATAACTTCTACATACAAACTCCGTTTTCGTCTGTCTTTTTACCGTTGAGTTCCTATTAATGAGATCTTCAATTCTCATTTAGGTCGCATAGGCCAAAAACCGCTCCATCTAAAATTCGAATTTCGGGTTGTGCACTGCTAAGCCAAATCTTAGAAAATTCATAACTTCCTCATACGAAGTCAGATTTGGGCGTTCTTTTTATGGACGCTCTCGGTTTAACATATTCTACGAATTTCGTTTAGATTTCTAAGGCTAAAAAGTCCTCTATCGTAAATTCACTTTTTACGATTCCCGGTGCTGTGTCGGTTTTGCCGCGAAACTTCGACGGACCATAACTTCTTCGTTATAACTCGGATTTCTACGTTCTTTATATGTATGGAACCCTTGTAACATATACTACAACTTGGTTAAATTACTCCTTCTAAATAATCTTCCATCAAAAACTCATTTTTGATGCTTATTGTCTCTAAATTGACTAGCCCGAATTTGCGGGTGTTATACTAGACACACACATATGCTATCTAATGAAGGTGTACGAACTTGAGAAGTCTAGATGAAGACTTATCAAATCATCACGTATCAAAAATCTGAACTTTAGTAAGAATTCAAGAGCATTGATTTCGAGAAGTCCAGTTGATTTCTGGGTACATGTCAAAACTAGTGGGAGCATAATCGTTATGCAGGCATAAGCATGATTGTAATGCTACTGGGAGCATAGTTGTTATGCTAAGTATTGCAAGTTAGCAATACTATATGTAGGAAGCAAAGGTTACAAATTTGCAAGTTGCAAAGTTTGAAAATTGTTTCGCTATAGAAAGTTATTTGCAAGTTAACAATATTTTATGTCTTAACAATTTCCACCTAAGTGACCTTGTAGTTTTCACATTTTACTTGTTGAGTTTGAAGAACTTGATCATGATCCACCAAAATGTTGGATTAGGTGTCTAAGCCCATAACTATAACTGGTATGTACTAGAATTGAAAGTAGCAATGTCCTTTTGGGTTACCTTCAAACCTGGCAATTGAATAGGATGGCTGTTAGAGAGAGAAGAATGATTTATTAATTTATTACATGGTTAATAAATTAGTTAGAAATCAAAATAAATGATTTATTAATATATTATGGAAATAATATATTAATTAGAAATCATAATGTTTAATTAATATTTAATCAGAAATTAATTTGGAATTAATTTTGGGATTAAAGGAATCAATTGAAACTGCAGGGACTAAAGGTGGCAATGTTTCATAGTTGAGCATTGAGCATTCTAGAACCTCCCTATTGAGGGGTGAACGAAATCTAGATGCTCTTAGGGTTTCCTTGGGCTCTAAGGGTGCCTTGGATGCCTTAGGGAAGAAGTTAAGGGATTAGAGTTATCGTGGATACACTTGCCTAATCCAATACCTTCCTTATCACCTACATAAACCCCTATAGGCAGTGTTTTAAAAATCGGTTTGAACCGGCTGGTCGAACCGGTTGGACCGGGAACCGGAGGATGGAGCGGTTCAACTATCACCGATTTTACATTGATTTCTGAACCGGATTGAACCGGCCGGTTTTTAGAAAAACCCGGTTGAACCGGTTAAACCGAATAAAAACAATTAAAAAGAACCATTTACATAATAAACTTTGGTGATTTTTTTCAAATCTATTTAGTTTTCTCTAAATAAAAACATATGACAAATGTTATAAAGTTTTTTATGTGTTTATATTCATCTAAAACTATATTTTTGTTTCGGTATTATACTTTATTTTTCTTTTTAACGTATATGGATTAATGTAAAACACTAAAACTTATGATTATGTGTTATTTTAGTGTATTTGGATTCATCTACAATTTATTTTTATGTGTATTTTTAATGTTTGAACTTGTAAATATCAAATTCATGATTTATATATGTATGTATGTGTAGGAAAATAGAAAAAAAGTTAAAAACATGAAAAATATAGAAACCGATTCACCTGGCGGTCGAACCGGTTGAACCATGAACCGGTCACCATACCAGTTCAACTAAAAAACCGGTTTTTAAAACATTGCCTATAGGGTTTGATTTCATCCACCACTTGATTCCTTAGAGGAATTCCGAATTTTTCCACCCTTCTCTCTCTCTCAAAAGTGATCCTTGGTTGCTAGGTTTGTTTGTGAGCCATTAGAGGCGCGACACTTGTGGCGCTTGCTACCTAAGGTCTTTCAAGCAAGGTTTTTAGATTGTTATTACAATATGACAATCAAGGTATGTATTCTAATCTTTTTTATGTGAATTTTGATTATTATACATAGAACCTAGGGTTTCTTTTTTTGTGTTCAAGTTTGCATGTTCAATGAGAGAAAACTTAGATCCAAATCAATTAGGGTTGCATGCACACATAGAATTGTATGTTTTGCTCAAAACCCATCACAAAAATCTCTAACTTGGAATATCCAGTTGATTTTTCTTTGAATTTCATGCTTGACTTCCTCAGTTGTGTATTTGGATTTTTCGGTCAGCAGAAGGATGTCTTCTAGCTTTTTCTTGATACAACGATGGAAGGATTGAGCAAGGAGAAAGTTCTTTGGAGCTCCCTTGGCTGTCCGAAAAACAATGCCAAGGTCTGGATTGTTGGTGGCTCCTAGACTTAGTTCTTGTATACCTTCGGTGATGAAGTGTGGGGATTTGAGAGGTGGAAGTTCAAGTTTTGCCTATAACACCGGAAGAATTTTAGGACCAATAGTGGAAAAGTCACCAAGGAGGGACCGAAGATAGGTGCAAACCCTTAGGTAAGGAGTCTTTATTTTCTGATGTTTTTCAATCTTGTGACTGAAGACTTTTGCAATTAAGAATAGCTCTTCGGGATTCATCTTCGGATAGTCAGCCTGCGTTCTGTAATAATATTTGCCAAAGTGCACCAGAGTATATTGGAAGAATTGAGATTTGAGAAATGATCTTGGTTTGTAGTTGGTAACAACATCCGGTGTGTAATTTGACCAAATATCGTTTACAGGTGGTTTCCCGTGCTTGTTGTGAAAAAGAGTTAACGTCTCGAACTCCATGGACAGTCTTCTGTAATTAGAAATCTGCAGATCAAAGTCTTCAAACACCTTATAGAATTTCCCATTGTGGACAAAGGAATGTCCCAATACATGTTTTCGCTTGGGGAGAGTAGGTGAGATGAGAGACATATTCTTCATCTAGAAGTCTGCAACATGGATTTATCCATGAATTGATTAATGATTCATCAAAGGTTGTGTGGATTCCCTGAGCATGCCAGATTTCGTCAACTAGTTTAGCAGCTCTCCAGTCTCTTTTCTTTTTCCTTGTGGCCGGGGAGTCATTTGAGTGATCAGAGGACATAATCTCCTATTCGGTTGGTTTTTAAGGGGATTTTGGAGGAGATTTTGGAGGATACTGAATTGGGGATCTGTGTCTTCGGGATCTTCCTACCACAAGTGAGGTGGTTGCACTCATTATAGGTGACATTGATGGTTTTGATTCACGAGATATTGTTTTGGAAACACAAAGTCGGCATCTTCAACGTATTAATCAGTTTCATCCTCAGTATCTTTCACTTCAATATCCTTTATTGTTCCCTTATGCCGAGGATGGATTTCGACTGGATATATTACATCGCGGTGTAGAAGAAGCAGACTCCAAAGGACGAATAAAGCTGACCATGCGAGAATTTTTTGCTTACCGTATACAACAGAGAGCTAATGAAATATCTTTGATATTACGTTTCCAAAACTCTTCCAACAATTTTTGGTTGATTCCTATAAATTGGTTGAAAACGACCGCCTTAATTATATACGATTTAACCAACCAACATTACGTGTCGTTCCTTATGGCAACTTGGTCGAGGCCGCTCAAGACGGAATTGAAGATGCTTCTATGATGGGAAACCGTATCATTATTTCATCTTCTTTTACTGGTGGCAGCCGTTACATGCAACAAAATTACTTAGACGCAATAACTTTGGTTAAGTGGTTTGGTTATCCATATCTTTTTTTAACCTTTACATGTAATCCTAAATGGTCAGAGGTAATTAGATCTGTTGAATCTTAAACCAGAAGGTAGGCCTCATATTTTGACACGAATATTCAAAATAAAACTTGATTCACTAATTAGTTGACTGAAGGAAGAAAAAAATTTGGGTGAAGTTGATGGAGGTATATATCTAAAATGTCATTATTCATTATCTTTTTTTAATGATTTTATAATATTATGTGTTAACCAACTAATTTAATTGCCTCATACAGTTGTATATACCATCGAGTTTCAAAAAAAAGGGTCTTCCACATTGTCACATATGCCTATTTTTAGAAAAAAAAATCTAAACTTCCAAATCCCGAAGACATAGATCGTGTTATATGTGCTGAATTGTCAGACAAGGAGCTTGAACCAAAATTATATCGAATTGTTTGTGACAACATGATACATGGACCATGCGTCAATGAATTTCCATTTATTCCATGTATGAAAAAAGGAAAATGTTCTAAAAGATTTCCAAAAGACTATACAGATCATACATATATTGACAACGATTGTTATCTGGTTTACAGAAGACGCAGCAATGGAAACAATGTCGTGAAAAACGGTGTTTCTTTGGACAACAGATATAAAAAATTAACTTTTATTCATATGTATATTTAATTATGTATAATTTTTTTATATGAAATATATGTTATATTTTTTTGATACATAATATCGCTAAACAAGTTATATAATGCAACATTGAAGTTTATATAAATCAAGTTTAAGTCACTTAAACTATTCATACATCACTTTTTATATACATTTATATTATATTATTTAAATATTTATATAATATAAAAATTATAATTGTTATATATGTTTATTTGTTTTTCCTCTGTTTTAAAAATAATATGATTTTAATGTTATTTATGACATGTTTCTTTCCTTTTTCAGATATGTTGTTCCATATAATAAGATACTTTTGAAGCAATACCAAATGCATATGAATCTTGAGTGGTGTAATGAACTTGGATCGATAAAGTATATTTTTAAGTATATTAACAAAGGACCAGACAGAATCACAACCTCTTTTTATGACGTCGAGAATAAAAAAAGCAACATAAAGAAAATAACGATCGTGATGAAATTGTTGACTTTTACAATTGTCGTTATATTTCTGCTTGTGAGGCATGCTGGAGACTTTTTGGGTATGATATTCATTATAGAACACCTCCTGTTGAAAGGTTGTCGTTTCACCTTGAAGACAAACAACCTATTGTGTTTAAATCATCCCAACGTGTTACTAATGTTGTTTCTAAACCCACTATTGCTGCTTCTCAATTTTTGGCTTGGATGGAATGTAACAACTATGATGAAAAGGCACGAAAGTTATCATATGTTGAATTCCCAAGTCAATATGTTTGGAATAAATCAGATAAAGTATGGACAAGAAGAAAAACAAAGACAAAGTCACTTGGTAGAATTAATCACGTGTCTCCCAAGTTTGGTGATGTTTATTACTTATGCCTTTTGCTTAACAAAGTAAAGGGTCCTACTTGCTATGAAGATATCGGGATAGTTAACGGTACCGTTTATGAATCTTACAAAGATGCTTGCTACGCTCTTGGTCTATCAGATGATGATAGAGAGTACATATCTTCTATACACGAAACACATCATTGGACCATTGCTTCATTCTACAGGTCTTTATTTGTTCTGTTGATTACATCAGATAGTCTATCCCGTCCTCATCATGTTTTTAAAGATACCTATAATTGTCTTTATGATGATGTCGTTCACATACGTGAACAAGAAATCAGCGTAACAGATACATTTTCAAATAATCTAACCCATTTACACAAAAAACGTTCTAAAATTAATTGATATTAAAAATAAATAATTTCATAATTTTTTGTCTTTTCAGGCTTGAAGCTAAAACCGGAAGCAATTTTCCACCAAACGTTGTCATACATTGAGAAATCTTTATTGAGTTATGGACTGAGTCTGAAGCAAATACCCAATATGCCGTTACCTGATCACAAATATATTCAAGATTCTTGCAATATGTTAATTCAAGATGAGCTTAATTATGATCCGTCCGGTCTTGAAGTCGAACATAAACAACTGCATTCGAAATTAAATGTCGAGCAAAAAAAGGTTTATGATACAATTATCAATGTTATTAACAACAAAAAATGTGGTGTCTTTTTCCTGTATCGTTATGGAGGAACAGGAAAAACATTTGTTTGGAAGACACTGTCTGTTGCTATTAGATCTAAAGGTAAAATTGTTATCAACGTTGCTTCAAGCGAAATTGTAGACCTCTTACTCTCTGGTGGTAGGACAGCGCATTCAAGATTTCATATACCAATCAACTTCAATGAGGATTCGTTTTGTTCTATTACACTAGGTAAAGATGTAGTTGAACTGTTGAAGAAAGCTAGACTTATCATATGGGATGAAGCACCGATGATGCACCGTCATTGCTTCGAAGCAGTTGATAGGACACTTAGAGACGTTATCCTTTCATCGGACAAGAATAAACCGTTTGGAGGCAAGACCATTGTATTTGGAGGTGACTTTCGACAGATTCTTCCAGTAATACAAAGAGGAAATCGTTCAGATATTATCCAGGCATCATTGCATTCATCAAGATTATGGCGTGAATGTACAATTTTACGTTTGAATGTAAACATGAGGCTTCAGATCGGCTGTCCAAACAATGATTTCGAAGAGACAAAATATTTACTGAATGGATTCATAAATGACGGTGAAGTTGAAGTTGAATATCCAGAAGATGTTATCGTTCCCTCTACGGGTGACCATATTCATTCAATTGTATCCACCATTTATTCATCCTTTCTGAACCATCTTGATGATCCATCATATTTTCAAGATAAAGCTATTTTGGTCCCTACAAATGAAGAAGTCGATGCTATCAATGACTACATGTTATAATTGATGAAAGATGAAGGGAAAACATATCTGAGTTCAGATTCTTTATGTGAGACTGAGACATAAGATTCTTTTGAGGAATCGGTATACTCTCCAGATGTGTTGAATGGTTTTAAGGCTTCTGGAATTCCCAATCATAAACTTATACTAAAAAAAGATGTTCCGGTCATGTTACTTCGTAATAACGACCAAACCAAAGGACTATGCAATGGTACTAGATTAGAGATCGTAAGGCTTGGAAGACACGTCATTAAAGTCTGAATCATATCTGACAGATTTTTCAATGAGACTACTTATATACCTCGCATTAGGTTAACCCCTTCTGATAAAAAAATTCCGTTCCGTTTTCAGCGGAGGCAATTCCCCATAGCTGTTTGTTTTGCTATGACCATTAACAAAAGTCAAGGACAGTCATTATCAGATGTTGGATTATACTTGCGTAGACCCGTTTTCACTCATGATCAGTTATATGTAGTTGTTTCCTGTGCCACAAGTAAAAAAGGTTCGAAGGTACTCATATGTGACGTGGAAGGTCGTTCAACTGATAAAACAAAAAATATTGTCTACAAAGAGGTCCTTCAATGATTATAGATATTTATCAATTTCAGTGTATCTTCTACATATTTTAATAATACAAATTGCCATAAATTTTTTTTAATCATTATGGAATATTTATAGACGTTTGTATGTTTTTTATGCGTCACATTTAACGTATGTTATAATCTAGTTTCTCTTTAAAACAACATATTCTTATATGTAAAATGAGGTTTTGTAATTTCTCTTTTGAACAACATATTCTTATATATAAGAGTCATATAAACATTTCATAAATGTAAAAATTCTCTTAAATTATTCGAAGTTAAAGTTTGAAAATATTCTGTAATTTAGTAGAAAAACTGGAAAAGCTTTGCATAAACGTGGCCATCTATTGGGGTTAGGTATCTTCTTAGAATTTTGATGATGGAAAAGAGCGAAAAGATGTCGGTAATAAAAGCCCACCAAGGCCCATAAGTAAGTAATGTGAAGTGTGAACAAATCCACCGATTTCGAGCCAACAAGGCAACAAACAACAATCAAAGTATCAAACTCGCCGGAGAACACAATGGTGTCTCTGCGTTTCCCATTCTCGTTTTCTCAGCCCGCCACAACGCGCGTCCCCTCCGGCGCCTTTTCACCTGCAAATATCGCTTGCTCCGTCGCCGTCTCTGCCGCTATCGGCGCTGGCATTTCTGCTGGCATTTGCTTATCACAAAACTCTACCAGTCCATCTCTTCATAACGCATTGAAATCATTGCTTTCCAATTTATCACACTCTTCTCCCCTATGGGGTTCACTATCTCTCTCCGAAGGTTCCGGCGATGTGGTCACCGAATCAAAGACTGGATTTTCGTTTCCGGCAGTTTTGAAGGATTCTCAGGGGCTTCTAGGGATTGGATTGAGGAGAAAGGCCGTGTTTGGGCTGAAGAACATCGATGTTTACGCCTTCGGTAATATAATTCTAGAAATTTTCTGCTCAATTAGTAATGTGTTTACATGAATTTCGATGCCCTTTGTTTCTTTCCGCAACTTCAAATTCAGTGATCGGAAACCTACGAAAGAACACTGAACTCCCTATTGGTTCTCATTTAGCTAGATTAGTGCACCAGTTATTTGCAGTTCTCTTTTTCAAAATTTTAAAAGATTGAAATTGATATTCAATTAAAAGGCAGGCGTCCACCTTTTGAGGGGTGTTTGGATGCGTGTTTTGAAATGCAAAACAGCAAAACAACGATATAAGGGTATATAAGTAAATTGACTCACTTTATAGAAACAGTTGGAAACTGATAATTGTAATTTATAACTTTAAGTCACAATAAAGAGTTTAAACACACATCCAAACACTCAGTTTTCGGGCAATATGTAAAAAACAAAAGTAGCGAGCACTAAAACCATTCTTTCCAGCCATAAGTGTTTGATTGTAGAAATGAGAAAACAAAAAATAGCAACATACTTTCATTTATATGTGTAGTATATTATCCTACTTTTTTTAATTACAACATAATGTTTTTTAATGTTTTTTCTTATTAAGGCATTGTACTCTAAAAAACCTACCCAAGTACATCAATATACTTTCATTTCTTTGCTTATTAGAATACTTTCATGAGTGTTTGGTTGCACTTTTGCATAAACATTGGTTGAAGTAAATCTAAAATTGACAATAAAAAAAATATCAAAATGACCTTTCTAGGTGTATATGCGGATGATAGTGATATCAAGAATTTTCTAAGTGAGAAATACGGAACACTTTCAACCACTGAAGTAAAGCAGAAAAACATGACTCAAGATTTGATGGAAAAGCGATGTTAGTGTCACTGTTAGACTACAAATAGTTTATGGAAAACTCAGCATTCGGTCTGTTCGTAATGCATTTGAGGATTCTGTGGGAAACAGATTAAAAAAATTTGGAGGATCTGATAACAAGGAGTTGCTTCAAAAGTAAGCCTTTTTTTCATCCACTTTTATCACATGATAATAATTGTCTACTTGTTTTGCTTATATTCTTTACATTTTCACATGTTTATTTAAAACTTAAAAGCCGTTTTTATATTTGATTTGACAGGTTCACTTCTCAGTTTAAAGATGAATACAAAATCCCACGTGGATCTATCATAGACCTTTCAAAAGAAAAGGGCTATGTGCTCCGGACCAGTAGTAAGTTCACATATTTCAATGTTATAAATTATCACTACTTTTTGCAGTATGTCAAAAAGAAACACTCATATATAGGCTATAATAGCTTACCAGTATTGATTAATATTGTTCTTGGTTCAAATCATGTAGTTGATGGCAAGGAAGTAGGAAGCGTCCAAAGCCAACTCTTATGCCGATCAATTTTGGATCTTTATATTGGCGATGAACCTTTTGATTCAAAAGCAAAAGAAGATATTGATCTCAAATTGGCATCCGCCATTACAAAGTAATAACTGATTCCATATACATCGGAATCATCTTTTCTCCTTGCAATTGGTTTTGTATCCAAAGCAAATATGTATGTAATATATTATGTATGGACTTTTAATTTATGCTGGTTTTTAATGTTTAAAAATCTTTCTATATATATATGAATAATAATGGTATGAGATGAATTAATAAATGATATCTGTGTGGATAAAGTGTCGGTGATATAAATAATGTTTCTTTTTTGGATAGAATATAGTGTCTTAATTTTAACTTTTTTAGGGTTAAAATGGTTAACAGTCTGCATAGGTAAAAAGGCTAATATATAAGATTTGGTAGAAATGAGAAGGGTATGTTATTGTTACACAAGAAGCTTACTTTCAACCAAATGCACAAAGTACTACAAAAATCATGATCATAACATGACAACGATACACATAATCAATGTGTGCACTACTCCTTCCTAACTTATACCATCTTTTTTTGTATGAATTTAACAAACCCCAAGTTGGTGTAAAGAAAAAAATGGTAAAGCTGGTAAGAATGATGCTTCGTTTCGTGTTAATAATGATGATGAAAGGAGTGATGACCGAAGTGTATAACGTTGGGGATTCAGATGGTTGGACTACTCCTGTTAACACAAGTTATTCCAAATGGGCGTCTTCAAAGAAGTTTCGTGTTGGTGATACTCTATGTAAGTCCCGTTTTTCAATATACCATAGAATTAAAAAATGTTTACATTTTGTAATTTTAACAAAAAAAAAAAAAAAAAAAAAGTAATAATATGATTAAATTTTTTGTAGGGTTCCATTATGACCCAGCGAGCCATAATGTGGTGCAAGTGAACCAGATGGGTTACCAGTTATGCAACATCAGCAACGCACGTGTGGGTGTAAAAACGTATGAAACCGGGAATGATTCATTCAGAATAAAGGGACCAGGCCATTACTACTTTATTTGCAGCTTTCCGGGTCACTGCAAAGCTGGTCAAAAGCTCGATGTCAGAGTCCTTAAGAAGTATCCGATGACTACACCAACACCAAAAACGATAGCAATGGCACCTACCTCCTTTGCAAATGCTCTCTACCCCTACCCTATTACCTCCTTATTATTCGGTACCATTGTTGTGTCAATTATTTGTGCTGCAACTGCAATGTGGGTTGCTTAATTAGTTATTATTATCATGTTTTTGCATAAAGTATTTTAATGTTGTTGATTTGTAGTGTACCACTGGTTTGGTTTTTTTAATCCAGCTTTTTTTATTCAATCTCTTGGATTCATAAAATGTAAGAACCAAAAATCTATTTTTTTTTATTATTTTTTTTTTTTATATATACTAGGAAAGTTACAAGGACTGTTATAATCACGTACCCACGACCCATGAGAATTGATTTATGTATTTCTTTTAATAATGTTATGGACTTATATCTTGTATGAAATTTAACTTGTTGGCTGCTTTGCAGAGTCTCAATATTACTGGGTACTTTCCATGAATATGGATTTCGTAAGGCACTTTACATGTTTTATGTAGCACAAACGATCCGTTGGAGCCTATTTTGAATTTTATAAACAATTAATGCTTAATTGTGTGTCATATGAGAACAAAATATTAAAATAATTAAACATACTTTTTTAATAAAACGATTTAAAAGGTTATAGGCGCTTAGAGTTTAGACCACCTTGAGTCCTTGACTCCACCATTTTTTGGTATATATATAAACTTAGTGATAGATCCTCATACATTCTTGAACTGATAATCAAAATAATCAAAATATGATAATAGTAAGATAGTAATCCCATTCATTGAGAGGAATGGACTCTAGTCGGACTCTCCCGAGAAGAACAAACTTCTCAACAATATGATTCTTAGCTACCCTTCTCTAAAACAAGACCAACTTAAATATTCCTTAAGGTGGGGACCAACATACCATACAACCAAAAGTGTTGTTCCCACTACTACTGCCCTATAACAGAATTAATGCTTACTCTATACAATCGATGTCGGGATCTCCTGGAGCTCTGGGGCGTTCTCATATGAACCGCCGTTGCTCTTGCCACACTCCTATTACTTTCTATACGATTTTTAAGATTTATAGAACAATCAATGTCTTCGATTACGATAAATGATTCTGACTATCTTCATAAGCAACTTCTAGAGTTCTGAATTCATGTCTACCTTTGTTAAATCAAGCTCGTAAATGACAAGATTTCGGTTTCCAACCATGATCTCTGGCGAGGGTTTGTTATTGGGTTGTGCTCTCCATAACAACATTGGGAAATATAGGGTGATGATCGATCACGGTGAGAGCAGGAACTGGAGCAAAGGTCATTAGAATTGAAGCTAGGTATCTCCGATCTCGTGTGTGTTTGGTGGTGTGAACGGAGGTGAAGGAGGTGGGTTTATAAGAGAGAAAGACTCATAAATAGTCCCACATGTCCAAATGGACAGCCACGTGTCAGCCACATCACGATGATCGGACATCCACATCTTCTTCAATGATTGTGTGGCAATTATAGGTTAGAGGGACGAAATAAGCAGGTCAACATCCACTTTGTTCCCTCATAAAACACAAAAATAACTTAAGGGAATGAATGGACAAATGTGCAATACATAGTATGACACTATGACTAATGTGTCATTTTCCCTTTTTCTATTATAACTTTCAATATACAAAGCTTGATATAAATAAGAATAGAATATATCGTTGAGACAATATAACTGTTATCTACATTATGATGTGAGTTTTTACCACAATCTCAAATAAACATACGATGTATTTAGTTTTTTTTTATCAAAATATAGTAGTCTATGTCATTATAAATATGTATTTTCTACGTCTCATCTATAAAAGAAAAATATGTTAATTTTTGGTCATTTTCATAGAGAAATATATGTTTCTATAGATTTTTTATAACGATAGAATCAATCATTTAAAAAAAAACTTGCTAAATTTAATTTGTAATTTTTATTTATATTATATTTTAGGAAGTACAACTTCATACATTAAACAACTTTATGTAAATAGTTATAACTATATTTGTACTTTCAATATCCAAATTCTTGACTTGCTGTTGATTTGAACATTTACTCCTCACAGCTATTTAATTATTATATATATATTAAAATTATGAAGAAAAGGAATAGTAAACTTGTCATTTTTTTTGTAGAATTGGTCCCTGTATTATTATTGGGCTTCAAAGTTAGGAATAATAAATTTGGATGTATTTTGGCAACTTTGCTCCTCATTCTTTAACCATTTTGACACTTTTGGTCCTTGCAACCAATATTTTTACACTTTTTAGAAACCTTTTAATATTTAAAGTTTGGCTACAAAACTTTAACGGTTTGACAACTTTGATCCATTTTCTAAAAAGTTGCAAATTCCTACCCCTTTAATTCTTTAGCCATTTTGACACTTTTGGTCCTTGTAGTCAAAACTTTTACATTTTTTCATAAAAACTGGATGTTTTTTGGCAACTTTGCTCCTCATTCTTTAACCATTTTGACACTTTTGGTCCTTACAATCAATATTTTTACACTTTTAGGAACATTTTAATCTTAAAGTTTGGCCACAAAACTTTAACGGTTTGACAACTTTGATCCCTTTTCTAAAAAGTTGCTAATTCATACCCCTTTAATTCTTTAGCCATTTTGACACTTCTGGTCCTTGCAGTCAAAACTTTTATATTTTTTCATAAAAACATGAAAAAAACGGTCCGGGGCAAAATCCGGGTTTTTCATCCTTGCACTTTCTACGTCTATTATATTTATCGATTCGCAAACAACATTGAAAGCTTCTGGCCCCCGCGTAGCGGGGGTAACCTTTCTAGTTATATAATTATATTCCTTCGTGTTAGATTAAGCCTAGTATTTTATAATAGTGTATTCACAGCTATAAGAAAAGGATCTAAATTTTAGGTAGAGCCAAATTGGTAAATTTTAAATATCAGGGAGTGAGTTTACAAAAAAGTTAAAGATTGATGGCCTAATTGTACATTCCTCTATTCTAAATTATAGGAGGATCAGCCCGCCTGAAGAAAGAGAGCTAAACTAATCGGGGCGGCCGGATAATGGCGGGAACGGGTGCCTCTCCTTCCTGCATCTTCTGTCAGATTGCTTGCAATTCCACCACCACGACCCTCCTTCACACCGTCTGGCCTCTCGCTAACTGGCAGTTTTTGATATTGACATTTATGTTCCTTGATTTCGATAGTTTACTTGTTATTTGATATGTATGACCTTTTGATTTGTGCAGGATGAAAAGGTTGTAGCGTTTCAAGACATTAATCCTTCAGCCTTTAGGTACTCAATTTGATTTGGATTATCCTCAACGTTCAATAATTTAGGTTGAAAGTTGTTTTTGGTACTCAATTTGATTTGGACTATGCGTATGCGTATGATCAGATCGCATGTTACACAGTATTCTTTGTGAATTTATCATTTGATCTCATTATTCGTTTGTTTGTTTGCGCTAGGGTCTGATTTTACTTCATTAACAGAGTGAGTTTTTGAAAGTAGGCTTAGAACAAGTGTTTCTTGGTATAGCACTGATTTTATGAATATGTGAGCACTGGAGTTGAGAATGAGTGTAGTGTAGTGCAATTTGTATTCTTATTCTTTTTTAATCGATTGAAGATTTAGATTTTAGAGTATAAGGGTTAAATGGGTTTTGAAAGGTGATCTCAATAAAATATGTAAGACCTTGAACCTAGATGATGAAATATACATTTTGAAATCGGGTTTTTTTAGTTGAGTGTGATGAATGCCGTTTATTTTTTGCTTGTATGCAGTTCTGGCATCAGGTATTCAGGTTGATTTTTGGTTGACCTAGCTAGCTATGATAATGATGAGTAACATTCAAAAACCTTTGGTATTATAACTAAATGTATTAACTTATAATCAATCACCATTCATGCTTTTTAGGTTTGGAATGTCAATTTCTGTTTTATGAGCTGAGCTGTTCCATAACTGTGACACATATTTTACTGGTGAGTCAATACTAAAAGTGGCCTACTTTATGTACCCATTATTCAGCAGATACAATATATTTAGGGTTTCTTGTGTCCTGTGATTGAGCATGAGCATCTTGTTATATGTTCAGGCTTTGGACCTCTTTATATGAGAAAAGTAATTTGGTGATCTTTCTTCCATTAGAATAGAACTAGAAATAGAAAGTGCACAAGTCTGTAAGAGTATTCAGTTCCATATAAACTTAATTAGGTGGACCTTTGCCTTTAATTTCTTGGACTTGAGTAATTTGATCTGTCTTTGGCATGCAAACTGTGAGCTGACATGTCTATGTCACATATGACCATTAGAGTGTTGCCCAGTCATTTTTTTTTCATAAGTTGATGTTTTTATATTTATTATACCATGCATTGTGATTGTGACATATATACCAGGTAGAACAGATTTGAATCATTTGATCACACTATGTCCACTTGAAATTGGATTTTTGTTTCCAATAAATAATCAACAAAGTAATCTTTTGACATAATTTTTGTTTATATATTTAAAAATAGGCATTACTTGGTGATTCCGGTGGAGCACATTGCAACGGTTAAGAGCCTCCGCAGAAGGACAGAAGACTATTCTTTGGGTAGGCTCATTCTTCTTTTTTTTTTTTTATTTACAAACCAATATTTAATATATATATATATATATATATATATATATATATATATATATATATATATATATATATATATATAATGATTTTTCTTCATTTCCGGTCAGTCAGTCATATGTTAAATGTGGGGGAGACACTGCTACAGAGAGATGCACCTAATTCGACTCAATACAGGTAGGTACCAATTTCATATATCTATAATTAAAATTCACCTTGAGTTCAATCTTGCTCATCATCATCATCATCTCTTTTAAATTCCCTTAAACAGATTTGGTTTTCATCAGCCTCCCTTCAACAGTGTAAATCATCTCCACCTTCATTGTTTGGCGCTTCCATATGTATCCAGGTGGGTGTGTGTGTGTGTGTGTGCACCATTTTATTTTATTTTCCTTCTGATGATGATGATGATTAGTAATAATAGCTTCCAATCCAGAAAAGGGTTGTGTAAGTAAAAACCATTTGAATCATTAACAATTTTTTTTCAAAAAAAAAAAAACAGGTGGAAAACAGTGAAATACACATCTTTGGGACCACTAGGTGGATTTATTGAGGCCCGAAAACTATTGGAAAAACTGAAGCCATAGTTAACTCTCCCTCCTTACCAAATATAAAGAGATTATTTTAATTGTTTTACATGTTAATTGACCTTAATTACTACATACACACAATTGAGCTCATGCGTGCAGATTCCATGCTTCTTTTCTGAAGCTGATCTTTTAGCTTTCACAACTTTCTGTTTGTGTTAAGGGCGTGTTAATGCCACACAATATCACATGTATGGTGTGTAATTGCATTGCACCCAAGTACAGCTCATACAGATATGCACACTCTTGTTTGGTTACAAGTAGGTTTTAAAACTTTTCATCGCATTGATTCTTGAATATACACATTTGTAGTGCAAAAAACAAACTGAACATAAACGTCACTTTGTGCAATGTGAATACCATTTTCTAGTTGCATAGTTTGGATTCAAGCAATAGAATAGAGAAAGTTGAAGTTGTGTGTGTATGTATGTATGGTGATGAAGGGACATATGTTTTGTAGTATGTGTTGGATGCTTTGTCATTGTGACAACGCTTTTGAAGAAACCACTAGAAAAGAACTCACCACATGACACAAAAATACATAAAACAACGTTAATTGATTGTCTTAGTAAACATATAAAATCGAAAATTTTAAATTAGATATTGTTCAGTTTATGCGAAATCCCTCCATTTTGCAGTGTCGAGAAATTCTCACCCATTTATCGCTACATTCAAAATCCTTTACCAATTTTCAATACTTGCAAAGTACTTCTCCCCCATTTTAATCCCAAAAGTTCTGAATTTAAATCGTGGAAAATAACGGTTCTAAAGTAAAAAAAAACATTGGAAAATGAATTTTAATAAATATAATGCTAAGATTTTCAAAATACAATATCTTAATAAAAAAACCGAGAATATAATGTTATTATAGTTTATATTTTCAAAATGTAAAACATTTGAACTATAGTAAAAAGTATAACATTGTTATTGAAGGTATAATGCTATAAATGGTTAGATAATCAAACTACAATGTTTTTGTAAAAAAACTAATAGGAAAACAGATTGGGAACTATTATGTTATAATTAGTAACGAAAATCAAACAAGTCTACTTTTTTATAGTACAAATGCAATACTTGGTTAGGCTTTTAAAATGCAATGTCTATATAGGAAATGAAAATAATATGACATAAACTCTAACCAAGATCAAACATAGGAAAAAACTACTGAAAGCATAATGCAATAGTTGATAACCAAAATAAAAAAAGTTCAGATTTTCAAACTACATTGTCTCAATAGGTTAGATTCTCAAAGTGAAACTCTTAAAAGGTAAATAATCAAAAGTGCATCTTAATAAGTTAGATTTTTAGAGTATGTGAGATTGGTTAAATTATCAAAGTTCAATGCCCTAATAGGGAAAAAGTTAGTAGGTTTCAATGTATTAATAATTTAACTTTTGAAATGATGCTATAACAGGTTGAATTTCAAAGTATATTGTCTTTAAGACAATATTGCATGGCTTTTTCATTAATACCCTATCATACATTTTGCATGTATATTAACTAATCAGCAAAGTTCTTTTTTTTTTTAAATAAAAAAAAAAGTCCTAAATGAAACTAACCTTGCAAGCACTAGCACTTCAGCTTGAGAATTAGCATATGCAGCAATAAAATTAAGAAATTTCAACTTCCACAAAAGTGTTGATCTTAAGATAACATCAGACAAACCCTAGAATCAAATAAAAAGTAGCAAACAGCACAAATGAATAAAATAAGTGAACTATCAAATCTGATGTGAGGGCTGTTTCTTTTTTATTTAATATGTTAAGTAAGAAAATCTGGCTTAATGTATTCAGACATCAATCATTTATCTATTTGTCATTCTTTTTTCCTCCAAACTCATCTCATGTTAAAATTGATCAATGTCTTTTTCCTCCAAACTCATCTCATGTTAAAATTGATCAATGTCTCAAACGCAATAAAATGAAAATATAACATTATAGGTTGTAAGCAAAATATAACAAATTTTCATTTCCAAGTAAAATGCCCAAAAAGAAGAAAAATTAAAAATATAAGGCCTTATAAGTTAGATATTGAAAGTATAATGCTATAATAGAAAATATAATGTTGGAAATGGTTAGGGTGCGTTTGGTTGTGGAAAACTGTTTTCAATTTCTAAGAAAATGTTTTCAGAAAATAAAGTTGAGTTTTCATTTTCATTTTCAGTTTTCAATGAAAATTTTAGAAAACGCGTTTGGTTGGAAGCGGTGGAGTTTTCATTTTCCAACTTAGAAATTTGGAAAAACTATGGAAAACTATAAAACTCGTTTTTCTAATTCACATACAATTTGGAAAACTGAAAATTTTCATTTTCTTAGAAAACTTTGGAAAACTGATCGAACCAAACACATTTTCAAAATTTCCGTTTTTCTTGGAAAATTTTCCTAGATAACTGGAAAATTTTCCACAACCAAACACACCTTTGGATTTTCAATACACAATGTCTTAATTGGAAAAACATGGAAGTAAAAGTTGGTAACCAGAACCAAACAAGATTAGATTTTCAAAAGTGCAATAACTTGATTGGAAAAAAAATGAAAATAAAATGCTATTTGTAACAAAATCAAACAATTTACCTCTTCAACCCCCAAAGGATGTTGCTGTGGCTTTCCCCATTCCAGTGATAATTTAGCAAACTGCCAAATATAAATGAATAATAATAAGTTTGTCATGACAGAGTAACAATTATATGAGAGCAAATCCTATTATTTTTGGTACAAAAGCAGCTTTTCTTAATTTATTTTTTTGATAAAATTACCTCGAGAGGGTCAGGGGGATATTTGGGAACTATGGTGGCATCATTTCGAGAGGTTGGTGGTCTTTGGAAGCCCATATAAATCTCCTCCTTTCATTTTGACCTTGACTTTTTGACCATGGCTTTGACTTTGACCATGACCATCAACAAGGCTGTCACAGAAGAGTTGAGAAACCTTGTCACACAGGAGAATGGAAAGATCTCGGGCAGTCGTGAGTTTTTTTGCCTCTGCCCGCTGCCCGAATGATTGTCTTCGAATTGTTATCAGAGGGAGAGCCTATGAATGAAGATGAAGGTGTTCCGTTTGCAAGAGATTTTGGAAGGAGCTTCAATGAAGACAAAGAGGGTCTTGAAAGTTATTCACAGGAAATACATCCACGTCTTCTGATGATCTGAAACAAAAAATGACTTATTATCAACAACAATATCTTTTAAACATATCAGATATCAGACGCAATTTTTTCAAGGAAAGAGATGAATTTTGTTGGGGTTTTAATTATGCTTGCTTGAACATGGAAATGAAAGAGATGAAGAATACGGGGGCAAAAATGGTCATGTTAAAAAAATTTAACATTTGGTCTGTTAAAGTTGCGACCCAGAGACCAAACCCATTAGGGTACGTTTGGTAGAGAGAAATAGAATTGAAGCAGAGAATAGAAATGAGAAATAGAATTGAAGCAGAGAATAGAAATGAGAGAAAGAGAATTAAGCTTGAGAATGAGAATTGTTTCCATTGTTTGGTACAACAGAGAATTCATCTGATAAATGTACCCAAAAATCAATTTTCTTGTTTAAATGTAGTAAATAATGAAATGGAAATGAATTTTACCATGTTTATTTTTTCAAACAATACTTTTTTTTTACATTAATGTCATTAGAATTTACACATTAAATTTCTAATATTATGTATTTTTTATATTTCTAATTATATATTTTCTGAATTATTTTTTATTTTTGTCAATTAACATTTTATACTTTTGGTCGTAACATTGGATCATGAAAATAGCAAAATAAGTAAATAAACGCATTTGCAAAATAAGTAAATAAAATCATTTTGTGCATTCTTTTTATTTCGAATAAGAAAATGATGAAACGAGATTACAACCTATTGGAAGTAACTTTATCACACCCCCTTATGTACGATACCTCTCATTTTCAATTCTCCGTGTTTTATTTCATATCTCCGCTTTCTTTATTTTTTCATTTCTCCCCTTTTCTCCTTATTTATTAGAGAATGAAATAGATGGAAAGGGAATTGATGTTTTTCTCAATTTCTATGTTTTAAGCCTCAAACAAACAAGAGAAATGGAATCAATTCCATTTCTCTATATCTATTTCTTTGTACCAAACATAGCCTTATATTTATGACACCATGAAAGAGTAGCATATTTTCATAAAGATTGTAATTTGAAGAATTTAGGGTTTAGTTGTCCTCCTTCAGCATGCATGACAAACAGTTTTTAAGGAAAGAGTTATGAAAATGAAAATAAAAGAGATGAGAAAATGGTCATTTTCATAAATTTAACATCTAGGTTGTTGTGTTAGAGTTGACGACCACCCAAGTAGTAAAAAGCATTATGAAACCATGAAATAAGGACAGGACCAAAGTTGCAAAAAAGATTCCCTTTTGGGCCTAAACCACCAACCTGACAATAAAGACATGTTTAACTGTAGCAAGAAACTCCCTGACTCCATGAGGAGGGATATCTAAACCTGAAATTAAGCAGATAACATGAATATATTATGCCAATTGGAAACTTGAGAGATGTTAACAACAAATAAAATAGATGAAATTTCAGCACAAAAGATTGTAACAACATACCCTACCCGATGATAAAACAAAATGGAACTGCTCTGCCCTCTTATGGTATACAAATTTTTGTCTGCAAAAATCAACATCTAAAGTTCCAATGCAGATTACACGTGTGTATATACATATAAAGAGTAAAAAGACAGCTACGGATTTGAGGTTTGGCCTTTATAAGGTATATATGATTACAAAAAATATCGAAAATAGGTAGGACCTAAAGATACAAGATGTGGCCTTGTATATAGCTTCAATGTAAAGCAACATGAACTCATGATCAAGTATCGGTTATTACTTATAATCTCCATTTTTGTATCCAAAAATTTCAGCATGCGAATTTTAACTACTGAACCACATTTACTCAAAAAAGACCAGTGATATAAACACAAATCCAGAAAATTTAAGACATCATTATCCAGGTAGCACTTTATCAGTGCAGCACTTTTTTGAAAAAAAAAAAAGGAAACTTGGACTGCTTGTCATATTTCAAGTGAAAACGAAGTGGTAACTCAGATTATGAACCACTGATTGTATATTTGTA